GAGAAGCGATCCTGGCGAGGCTCCAACCGCCTCAGGCATATGCTCCAGCCCCGCTCCAGTATGATGGAGTGCTCGGAGGCAGCCGGTGAAGTAGTTATAGCAGGAGTCGGGTTGGCGCTATTGCAAGATACGGGGGCATTATGGTAGCATTCCATCGGAGTCACGTAAAACACCCGTTTCCAAAAGCCTCAAAAAAGGGACAACGCCTCAGGGCGTAGGAGGAAAGACTCCAGGATGCGTGAACGATTTTCGTTTTCCACGAATGTCTTGCCCGTCCTAGGCTTAGTCCTGGGGGTGCTCCCTTATTTTGCGATAGCGCCGCCTGGATTCATAGCTGTTGAAAAGGACTATAACTCACTCCTGAGGGGCAGTATATGAATAAGTCGACGAAAGCGAATGATTAAAAACGGCATGATCAGGGTTACGCTGGAATCGGAAACACATGAATGAATGGTAAAATGTATGAAAACAGTTTATGAACGTAATCTCCACTTATAGATGTAAATGGGTTTTTCGGAGTATAATCGCTTCGAGCAACTGCTGTTGCCCGAGGGAATGAGCTCAATATGAGACATGGAATCGATTTTAAATGGTAAATTCCACGTGGGAGGCCGGTTTTCATGCGAATTGATGAGGACAGTGGCCGAAAGCGACAGTGTCAAATGTTGAAACGAACAACGGTTTTCTGTCTATGGACGAGTTTCATAGTTTGATCCGTTTGTTTGTGTGCCTCATTGGTGACTGTCTGCTGAATGATCACGTGGCAAAGTGCACTTTAAAGGTTGTAAGACCTTGTGGAACCTGAATGCTTAATCCAATTGTCTGATTTGGCATGGCAAATGTTTTTCCGTAGCATTGTCCAGTTGCACGGGAACTGATAGTATGGTGCTTGTTCCAAAGGAGAACTGGTTTCGAGCACTTCCTTGGAGAAATTTTCCAAGAACGGTCATTGTTGAAGTCTGTTCCGTTTAATAACGATATGAAGTCGTTGATCAGAAGACACTTCAACGGTGATCGTTCTTGGGTAGAAGATTTCTTGGGGGAAAAAATTCGAATCAGACTTTGCCGCATGATAGATGTGATAGTCAACAGTTGATAGATGTTGGCGATCCTCTTGGTACGGTAGGCGTCCGATTCTCCCGATTAGTCAAGTCACCATCGTCATGTGCTAGATATATGGCACCACAAAAGGGCCGAAGAGACTATTTCCAGTGCTTAGGTCTATAGGTGTTTTAGTCGAAAATTGAATCACCCCATTTGCATGAATACTGTTGGCCTGAACAATTGTTTCCTAGAGGTGACTCAACCGTGTTGGAATTTTCATGGGATTCTTCAAAAAATTATGCAAAGCTGCAAAAGTCGTCTGGACAAACCAACAGAGATCAATTTTTGAAACCGTCCTGTGAATTCCAAGCGTTATATATTCCGTTATTTTCTTTATTTTTTTTTATGGGAAGAGCGAAAGTGAAAGGCAGGGTAATTTGGTGATTCTAGAATCAATGCAGTGGGTCATGGACTCGTCCTAGGGGTAAGTCTACCACATTGGGTGAATATTGTTCGATATTTTGCTTTGAACTTATGATGTTACTGACGAAGCTCATTCTATAGATCAGGTGGAAGATGGTATTGGTGAGAGAGGGAAGTATCTAGAGACTCGTTTGTGCGATAATGCGCGCTCATCCCCGCCATGTCATGATGGCCTTGTGGAAATTTTTCCTGATTGGTTTGCGATTGAAATACCATGCACATATGAAATTAGTAGCAATCAATTGACCTTGCCCTATGAACTGCAAAAGGTTAAAAATAATTGATTTGATAATTAATTACTTATTAATAGACTTTTTGCTGTCACCAGCGTCCAAACGCGTTGAAATCCAGTTTACACTGGGTTTCTCATATAAACCAATTAGTGACATGTGGCTTACACGCACGCAGTTCTAGCGTCGACAAGCTCGGATTATATCGCCTGTTATGGTTTGCGCCTCCGCAAGCTAATAAATATTTCTCAGTGGCGTTACAAGAATTACCATTACGATTTCGAATGTAAGAAGCATGCTTGACGCATTCTATGCCAAGATCGATTGAAGCCGAATGCTGTCTTTTTATCCATAATTCATCGGTGATTAAGCACCGAATCAACCCAGTACGAGTTTTTGTAGAGGCTGTGCTGGACCCTAGCTCTCGACGTAGTCTATCTTACGCGATGAGTATTCAAGGGCGCCTGTCGTGTACAGTAGCCTAATTTGAATAACTTTTAGGGCTTGTATTTAGCTTGAAGAGAAAGTATTTGATTGGGACGAATTTTAAATTGGTTATGATTTCGCCTATCACTTCTCCTACTTAATGTGTGCATTCACTTAAACTTTGGGTGAACTTAATTATGATGAGCCCTATTAGGAGGGGGCGGAAGTGGTGTAGTGGCAAGTGGCACGCTTACCACGCGAGCGGTCCGGGGATCAAATCCTGGGTCGTGAGTCGCCCGGGCCAACCAAGCCTTCCATCCCTCCGGGGTCGGTTAATTGGTACCAGACTTGTCTGGGAGGATAAAAACACTGACTTGTACATCGGCTGGCCCCCGCAAGTCATTGTATAGGCCACATCGCATTCAAACGCCACTACGAATGTACAAATGGAAGTAGAATGCGTGCCGCATCCCAAAAAGGGATTGATCAACGGCAAATGCTTTATCCTTTTATCCTTTTATAGGAGAGATATTTGTTAAACCAGGTTACGATTTGCAGGTGTAACAGAACATTTTGGAGTGCCGATTATCGATGTGGACATGGTGATGGCATCTTTGGAGAATGCGATGGCATCGACGGGAGGATTCTGTGTCGGCCGATCCTACGTTGTAGGGCATCAGCGACTTTCAGGTGAGTTCCTCTCGAGAGGCGACAAACTGCGTCGAGCGCTCGGGTTCATTGAACTGACCACAGTTTTTCAACTGAAATTCAAGTAACCACCTCTCATGTTTCATGGCTGTTATGAATGGTTGAACAGCTGCTTGTAAATTCTACAGTAATCCGTCTAGATATGTAAACGCATAGGTATTTGAAAGTGATTGTTCACAGAGAAGTAGAGCAAAGACTATGAGTGGGATTAGTAATGTTCAAGCTGACGCAATTTCAGGTCTTGGGTACTGTTTTTCGGCGTCGTTGCCACCGTTGTTAGCGACAGCTGCCAGTGAGGGACTGCGAATCATCGACGAAGAACCTGAACGAGTGGCAAGGGTTCAGCGGCTCGCTGTAGCTGTACATCGCGGTCTGGAAGCGGCATTCAAGGTGGGCAATTTTTTGTTTTAGCGCGGGTTCAAGAATCGTGAACTGTAGTTTTAAGGAGAACTGAGGACTGTTTGGGATATATATTCCACTGATAACAACTAAACCGCAACCGAACTCTGTGGTAGCGATCAATATCATAAATTTTTATGGGTCGAGGAATGACTATGACATCACTGCAGAAGTGAACAATCTAATGTGGGGTGGGAATTCTAGAGTACTTATCTTGACCTAATTCACTAATCATGGAAGAGACGAAGACGATAGTGGTAGATGGCGCCGTTTCCGCATGTTTAGTCCAGGTATCAAATCCTGACGCACATTTGAGTGGATCTTTTGAGTGTGAACTAAAAAATTGCGGATCATAGACTTGTGAAGTTTTCATTTCTATAGTTGGTTAAAGGCACAGGACGCAATTTGATTGGTGTTCCACTTTTTTGAAAATTCGACAAGTAGGAACAGGGATGATAGTGCAGAAAAGACACAGTCTGCGAGGAGAAGTAACGTGAGAGGGCGCAGACGCCACATTGATGAGAATGGCAGCGATTGCAGCGGTCAAGCGGAGGAGTTAGCTTCTGAAGTAGCAGGACCCGTAATCATAAGAGTCGCGCACTTCCAGTTTGCGGCAGTACCATCATCCTTGTGACTAGCAGTCCTGCTACTTCGCTCGAAGAAAGAATTTCTTGAGCGTCTAATCGCGTTTCATGCCTTTATTTAGTACCAGACTCTGTACGGAATGTGATCCCATCACTTAGTATTACCGAATGGTCTCCTATAAGTCATTGCAAGGACCGATGCCAGCCAAACCTCGAATAGGAAAACAAAGAGAGTGTGGATTGATTCTGACACGGACTACTTTTTGAGCAGGCACCATTCCATTTACCTTAATGACAGCGCAGAGCTTAGTAGATTTTAAAACTCGAGCTATCTTTCCCACATTCCATTCGTCCTTCACTCAGACGTAAGCTCTTCACGTTTCGTGCGAGTAAATGATACTTGAGAATGAACAAGGTGATGCAGCCACTTTTTTACACCCCGACGACTCCTTTCAAATTTCAAGTGCGGACTTTTTGTGTACAATTGAAGTTCTTCGTCGGGGTTTTTTGCATATTAGATTTTCGGTCGTTTGCTTTTCCTTTCAATCATCTTGCTCATTAACATCTGATTTTGTCTTCCACATGCGATACCATCGATAAACAAGAGTTTACTACTTTACCCTTTGAATTTGTCACCATTGCACTCTTTTTCTCGCCGGAGTAGTTCTCTTTTGTCAACATGAGCATTGAGCTAATTGTTCGGAGCATACGTTGACGGATTCGGGACACTTCCAGCGCCTCCATTCGCTTTCGTGCGCCTATGGTCGAATCTTTCGGAGTCCGTGCGATTCAATCGTGGCAAGTGGCTCAGTGTCATCGCGCCAGCGCCGCAGCCCCCCGCGATGCGACGTCGGCTCGTACGCCGAATTATGGTTCTAGCATGGGGAATTGAATGGGAATGGGAATGGAAATGTGGAATGAGATGAGTGAATTGATGATGAAGTTTCCAGTCATGGAAACACGGTATATGATCACCTGCCCCTTAAAGTACAGGTTCCTTGTCCCTTGCCATTATTTACAACTTATTCCGTCATACTAATGCTAGTGCCTTCCTCACCGTTCCACTGCGTCTTGGAACGTAATATTTTCCGATTGAGCCAGATTATCGCTTTTTGATAACAGTTCAGGCAGTTGATTAATAAAGGAGTCAAATTATGTTCGAAAGGACAACCTTTACATGGCACAAGCTCTGTTCAGTGAGGCTAAATAACTGCGGAGATCTCAAGGTGACTCTTGTTGGCTCACTGATGTCTGGAACTTTGGTCTTGTCAGTTCTCTAACCCCACCAGCAACTTATGGACAAGGACCGTTAAGCCAAGGCCCATACAAAAATCGCCGCACCATTTGCCGCGCGCGACGCTGCCCGCCGCGTGAGCGGCGTGACCTCATTAGCCGACGATTGAATTGACCGTCTCCCGAATCTTTCTCCCCCAAAACACGTACCGTGATAAAATATAGAATCCGGACGTTCTCTCAAGGGAGGCCTTTAGGGAATGAGACGGTAAATTAGCGATGTATTTTTTAAAACGGCTTTTGATCTGGAATCTTCAATCAAATTTTGCGGGAATGATTTTCCGACGTAGTTATGAAGTGCGAGAGGCCAGTGGACTTTGGATGCAGGATGAGACCGTCGCGGTGAATCGATCCATTGAAAATTTAGCTACTTTTCGCTTTTTTTTTAAGCAGCTTTTGTTAAACCGTCTTGGCTCATTAAGATCATCTACCTTTGTCTGCAGCTGCTGTATAAGGAGCTTGCGGGGAAGGTCTAACAAATCTGGGCACTGTTTGCTCATGATTCCCTATGGTGCCCGTAACACACGCGTTTGGGCCTTTTTTGCCAAACGGCATTTCGTTGCCAGAATAATTAGCCAGTAGCAGATCTTTCGAGCCCCTGCAAGTTCTTCAACGGACATGCGACTCCCGACTTTACGCTCATAAATCGAGGCCTCTATAACTGTCTTTTCCGCTTCATAACGACCTTCGAAGAATCTTTCCGCACGTTTGGAACACACAGATGCAAGATCAGCGTTCAAAATCACATCTAGCCATGGCCCGATGTCAGACTTTGCGAATCGCGCGATTCGCTAGCGTCCGCGGTCGCGTTGCGGTACCAGCCAATTTGAGTGATTCACTGGCCGCGACGCGACCGCAGACGCTAGCGAATCGCGCGATTCGCAAAGTCTGACATCATGCCTTATGTATGTCTCATGGCAAATAGCCATTCCACCTGGGATTTTTTTCTCGATAGAAGTATGACCTCGTGAAACAGTAGTTAATAGTTTGGTAATTCATGTACATTTTTCTGCAACATAGTAATCATTATTTTACAGCACTTTTGTTCTAAAGTCGCGATTTTATTGTACCACAAGGTATCATGATTATTCGAGAGTAAAAAAACACTATAGAAAGTCGCAGGGTTTTGGAACATATGCGTCACGCTAGCTGCCATTGACACGATTCTATAATATCTGTATGGGTGGTGCTAGGCTGGTGTCAGAGTCTGCGATCCGTCGCGCGGTTTGGTTTGCTTACGATTCGTTACTTCTTTCATATCGCTTCAAATAATCAATGCAGGCACATGCGATTTTTGCGAATCGCGCGAATCGCGTTACGGATCATGGACTCTGATACCAGCTCTATACTCTGAAAAATCTTCAAGGTTTTTCCCTCGTAAAATTTGACAGCCGGAAAAAAAAAGTTTCTCCTTGAAAAAATTCATGCAGTTTTTCTGCAGAAGACGAAATTTGCGCGGTGCAAGGGTTTGAGCTGAGTCCGATGAAGCACATCGTTTTACAATGGTGACGATGCTGAGAAGAAACTGGATGCGCTCGTTGATAAGGTACCGTTATAAACAACGTTTAGTTTTCAATTCGATTTTTGACAAACTAGTCCCAGGCCTTTACCTGGTTGTTTTGTATAGAGCTCCTTGATCTATGTAAGTTAATAGTTCTCCATTTTTAAGGAGATCACTTATGTAGAACCACACTTGTTTCAAAGAAGATCCATTTATTACGTGTTCACTTGAATGTTTTGGTTTTGTCAAACGTTGTTTATACCTCCTTCCTACCATTTATTGAAATGATTTAATGATTTTTCAAGTTCCAATACTTCAGCTATTCGACAATGCATCGATAATGATCACACGTGCTCGGTATTTGGAGCGTGACGAAATGTATCCAATTACACCTAGGTACGTTTAGCTTTTTTTATCGTCTGACGAATGTTCCTTTTTTCAAAAAAAAACGAAAGTCTCGCTGTGTACGACAGAGAAACTTGTCTCTGCTCTTGTCAAGGGGCGGATAGGGAGACCTCACATTCTATCTATCGAATAAACTACAGATTCCGGGGGCGAATTTCGTGAAAAGCCCTTTCCGTAATTGGCAAATTCATCAAATTGTTCCATGACTAAGGTTGACTGGGCAGCACGCATAAAGGTTGTGCTGGCTCAGATTTTGATTGCTCTACTCACGATTAAAAAGAAAATATAGGCAAGGCCCTGCTAAAGACAGGTTTGGGACTTCCTGACAAAACAGAGCTCTTGTGCGATATGGAGTGGAATGCAAGTCAGAGCATATACTCATTTGGCGCCGTGAGTCAACCAGTTGACGACAGCCCATTGTGCGTGTACCTGTGCATCTTTTTTTAATCTTTTTAGAATCATTATTAGTGATTGGAGTACTATTTTCCGGATAAGACACTGTATACAAACAGTTTTGAAATAAGAAAAATGCCAAATAAATCGAAAAAGGAGCCCGATGCGTGAAAGTCTGACGCGCATGCGCGTCATGATGTCCCACGCGCGATGAGATAGAATCTTCGATGGGATTGGACTACGGTCACCGTGATCCTCTTTCGCTCGAGCTTGCTTCCTCCTATATCATAAGTTATAGTATTGGAAATGACTGAAATCCTTGAATCAGGGAATTTTGAGAGCGCCCCACATAATTTTTTTTCTTTTTCAGCGCACGTGTGATGGTCCAATCGGAAATGACGGAAAGTGAAATTGAAAGTGCGCTGATATCGATTGCCAATGTAGCAGCCGATTTGTAGGTGGTTGCAGCCAAAACTTTTTTTCTGCTTGAAGTACCCTATTCGCTCAGTTATGTATTATAGTTCAGCTAGGCGTCTGATTCCATGTTTTGTTGATTTGACTGGTTGAATGTATCTACTTAATTTGGCTTAGGGGCAGTTGTTGTTTATGGAGATCAAGTGCAATAATCATTCCTTGGCAGTTTTTCAAACATTGTCATTCTTCTCTTACCATATCTACCTATCTGACGTTCTTTTCAGTGAGACTGCTTTTCAGACTGTGATTGTACTTTGTGAAAATGCTCATGCTAATAAACTTTGTGAACTAATGGTGAATGCGTTCTAATACGGTTCACGTTTCGACGAGGAATACTTCTGTTTGAAAGAATTTTGTTGTTTTATTTGGGTCTTTCGATGATGGAGCAAAAGAATGTGCAAGATCTTGTTTTCGTCTAAAGCACCCTCTCACTGCAACGCGGAAATTATGATTGGTGGGTGAGCTCGTCCCATCCCCAAAACGTCCAACTAGCGGGTTGCCGCATTATCTTATTCTGGGTGTGAAAAAAAGGCGCTGAATTTCATGGAAATAGCTCCTCGAATGGAAGCTATGAACTGCCGTGTCCTCCTCGATGAGGCGCTAGGGTGAGGTGATGTAATGGGAAGTGTCCGGTTCGGGATTCAAATTTCCGAAACGAATCACGGCTATGGCATAATGTGTCTCACTGCTGAAGTAAATTACATGGTGCTAGACACAAGGAAAGACCGAATGATGGGCGCAGTCAGCTTGCCTTGAAAGGCGGACGTAAGCAAACCAGCCCTTTTGGCGCTTCGGCTGGGACCGTATGCTGAATGTTGGGGAGGGGATGGAGTCCCCGACGGTGGACGGACCACTTCAACTCGGTCCTTAGAACCGCCACAATTTGGTGCTTACCTCAGAACTAAGCCTTAAAGAGAGGACGGGTCCGTCCCCTCTCCAAGGCTTAGTCCTGGGGTGAGCAAACCAGCCCTTCTGGCGGAGCTGCTGGACCAGCTGCACCACTTGCGTCAGTACTCTCCTATCGTACCAACCGAGTTGAAGTAAACCGTCGACCGTTGGGGACCCCATCCCCTCCCCAACATTCAGCATACGGTCCCAGCCGAAACGCCAAAAGGGCTGGTTTGCTTACCTCTTAGAGACCGTTCTAATAGGTCTATCCAAAGCCAAAATGCCGAAATTTGTGATTGAAGTCGCGACTGTGGTGTGGCACCGCACAATATTGGGTTGAATCAATGTTTTCTTCCTTAGTTGCTCTTCATGGTTGTTTATTGTTTTTGTGTCAATGTAAGTTTTTATGTCCTGTTGTTTGTTGTGGGTTGTTTTTGTTTGTTTGTATGTTTTGTTTCTACTTTTTATAATCAACTGCAGTTTTTCCAAGTTGGAAGCATCAACTATATTAGGATTCTCGATGAAAGACTTCAGTTTGCAGCCGCGCTTCGAACGCTTTGAATTTCAAGTTTAGTGGAATCCCGTCAATTTTTTTTTCCAAATATTTAAGCTGCTTTTCAAGATATCTGGTTGGTGGGAGCTGCTGCCAGCTTCGGATGACATCGTTTCCGTTGTACGCTGAGACCTACAAGATAGGAAATCGTGTGTATCGTCGAAATGAATACAAAAGGGCCATACACCCAAACGAGACGAAGACGACCGGGGACACTCCGATCGTGTATGCCGCTGACTGATTTCGAAAGGACGAATGGACGCCTCCTCGTGTAGATGGTGAGGTCAATGTTTTTTATTCCGGTTTTTGGGGAGTTTTGACGTTGCTTGCCCACTTGATGTGTTGTGTCATGATGTATTGGATCATCTGTTTTCCCAATTTTTAATCGAGGCCCGCATCATCTTTGAGTAGGAATTGCATATGGTCACCGTCATCTTTTTCTGTAAGGCAGAGCGTTAGACATTACAACCGGCACCGCTAATTGCATAATGCAAGCAACACTACCATTACTAGCAGAGTGCTGCGCCGTAGTGCGGCCTGTTTTGGTGTTTCGGACTGGCTGACCAACGGGAACCGACTCGCGTTGCGGCGCGTGCGACACTGGCGATCGCGCGATGTCCGTAGTCTAACACCTGCCTATGAGAGAGAGAAGTAATCGTGAGCTCAATTCCCATCTTGCGCCTCCATGAATTGACTTGATACACTATGAGTTTTTATCGAATATGTTTAGCGTTTTTGTTAAGTTGTTCCTGCGAAACGAGAACGGCAGTTGTCTGGCGATGACGCAGTAACGGCGGTTCCTGGCCAGAATTTGTGCGACAGTGATCCGAGAGTCTCTTTTGACGGAGGGAAATACACTGCGGAGTAAGTTCTTTGGCAAGTATTTAGACTTTGTGTAGGCGAAAAGGTGAGAAGCTGGTGGTCCGAATATTGGAGTGGTGTATTGGCAAGCGGCGCCGCTTACCACGCCCTTGTTCCGAGGGCTGAATTTCGTCTAGAATGACAAGGTGTTCCCCTTGGCACTGGTGAATTGGTACTAGATTAGCACATTGCGATCCAGCAATATTGCGTAGGCGGATCATTTTCATCTCTTCGAGAGGAAGTGAGATTTGTAGCGCTTTTTAGGAAGGGTTTTTTTTAGCATGGAGTTGCTTTATCTCTTGAAGGAATTCGTTATAAAATAATATTACAAATAATTGAAGGGTTAGAAGTTGTGTAATTCGCAAGGTCGGTTCAGGAATCGAATTCAAAATCCTTCCTTAACCACCGCTTAATAACACGTCTTTTAGAATCTACGTCCCCAGTGCGTTCTATGGGAAATTAATTGGCACTCGAGGAACTACTCGGCGTGAACTGGAAGAGTCCACGGAATGTCGCTTGACGATCCCTCGGAAAGGACAGAAGGGAAATGTTGGTACGGGAATTAGAAAAGCAGTTCGGCCTTTCTTGAAAATAGAATAATTTGAAATCGATTTCTATTTTGAGAAATCAAATCATTCGTTGGTCTCGAGAATGTACAACGTTGCTTGGATCGAATAGAGCTTCTTGTAGCTGAGGCGAGAAAAACGGTGAGCTTTTTTTGTATTGAAGAAAAACTCATGTGAAGTTCCACTTCTTGTCTGGTAAGTAAGTCTTTCATTTCTTTGTTTTGCCGATGTATCCTCGGTTTATTTTTATGGCGAATCTTTTGCTTCGCGGCAATAGCTTATGTCTTTAATGAACGGAGTTAGGCTGGTGTCAGAGTCTGCTATCCGTCGCGCAATTTACGCGTATCGCGCGACGGGTTGCGGACTGCCACCAGCCTAATCTTTGCATGCTCCAAAGGCGAGGGTTTCCTTCCCTATGTGGCCAATTGATGC